AGCTAACCCCACCACGCAAACCGTCAGATTAATATTTATCCGTTATCAGAAACACATGGGTCGCTTACACTATTAATATCTGATACGCTCGAGTATTTCATTGTCACTGTTTTTTTTTACATTTTTGAAAGCCTGTACACGCTCCTCCCACCACTGAAACGGCTACATCATATACCTTTTTTTCTTTTTAGCATCTAATCTTCACAATCCAATAGGTCCCCACGCCGCTCGAGTAAATCCACATTTAGCCTCTCGGCTTCCCCTACTACAACTGTTGCGGAGCGGATCCGTGAGCGCTCGCTGCTATTGGTGTATTCTTTTAGATCATCCAATAGCAGCGAACGCTCACGCATCCGCTCCGCAACAGTTGAGTCTGCTGAACTTGACCAATGCAAACGTTAATTCGCGCTTACAACATTCCTACTTATTGATGAAGTTTACGAAATACAATCATTGATAATGTACGTTCTACAAAAATGAATTTGTTTAATATTTTTACTGTCTAGTGCATCCCTGTAGTCAATTATTATCCAATATCTGGAGACACGGTAGTGTCTCGGCGCTAAGCCAAGCGCGCGACACTGCCGTGCCTCCTTTACGCGAAACGGAGAATTTTTCGGGGTCGAAATGATCAGATCTCAGTAACGGCTGAACCGATCAAGTTCTACATACGCTCAATCGACAGGAAATACTTAAAATATATGATAAAAATACTTTCATTTTTTTTCTACGTGCCCTACGATGAGCGGAGATATCACGACGCAAAGTCCGGATCTGTGAATTTTCACGTTTTATTTTTAAGATCCTTCGTCATTGTCAACGTCGTCAATCAGAGAAAATGTCCATCTCGTTTTTTCGATAATAGAGGGCCTTTAACTTTATGTGTTATCTCACTCTACTATCATCTAACTCTATCTATTATATATCTAACCAGCAGACCAGTGTTGCATTTGCATGGTGTATCATCACATATAACGCGCGCGCAGTTTAACTCTTATAATTAAAAATAAAATATTATTCAATATAAAATAAAATATTTATTAATAATATTATATTAAAAACGATAATAATATAAAGATATTAGATCCGAATACATTGAAAGTTCTTGATGCCAGTGCTACAATCTTGGACATTAGACGAGGCCAGTATACATTATCCCAACTTTATGTCTGATTTGACTCAGACTAACTCGAACATGTACTTAAATACCTCGTTATGTGTATGCCAAGGTTAATTTTTTATATATAAGAATTCTTTTAAAATTAATACTCATCTTTTGTGATTTACTTTTAAAATATAAAAAACTGTTATTTGATAATTATTTTGATAGTTATTTCTCTCACCTAGAACACTATGTTTGATTCAAGGTTTTGGAGTGTAAGTTAACAAGTTTTCACGTATATCTTCATAAGTATACGTTTACAAATTATTATTCTAATTAATAATTAATAGCGTGAAAAAGGATTGTTATGATAATCAATTTCGTAATAACATTATACCAAAAAAATTTATTACATTTATTAGCATATTTGATTACATGTGTGTAATATTTTGATATTGGAATAATACATATTCACTTTCATTGCATTTTCTTTCAATAATAAAATGTATTATGTTAAAATATTTTAGAGAACATCAATGTAAAACATATGGAAAAATACCGTTCGGATACCATTACTAAGAAAGAGAAATCAATCTTAATACTAAATATTAGAAAGAAGCATAAATGATGTAAAAGAAGAATATTTATCCACTTTTATGTACGTTTATTATAAAGTTAATTATACAAAGTGTGTTCTATCTGTGATATGACTTCAGGTTCGTTATTGTATGATTCTTTCTAATGTTCAGTATTAACAACTTTATCATGATTTCTCTTTCTTGGTGATGGTATCCGAATGGTATTTTTCTACTATGTTTACATTGATGTTCTCTAAAATATTTTAACATAATACATTTTATTATTGAAAGATAATATATGCAATGGAAGTGAATATGTATTAATTCCAATGACAAAATCTAATACATATATATAATCAAATACGCTAATAAACGTAGTAAGTGATATTCTTCGCAATCTTATTTTTCACCTATTTTAATTTATCATTATTACTTTCACATCACATCGTTAAATTTTAATATATGTCTTTCAACATATTATTAAGATCCATAAGATGCTATAAGCATCAAAATTGTTAGATTGCTTGTCAATTTAACTAAGTGACGTTACTGCGGTAGTAAGTATGTATGCGTCAATGCTGAAAAATTATCAGCGTCGCGAATTTTGGGGGGATTACATACGCAGTATGTAAAATTCACACAATTATAATAAGCACTGTGATCCAGCTTCGACCATTATTGGCTTCTTCTTCTTATTTATTATTATACGGTCTTAAAAAGATTCTAGTATACCGTAATAAGTGTTTTGGTGTCATTACAAAACCGATTAAAAGAACAATCGTTCCTCACAATATTAATTATTAATTATAATAATAGTTTGTAAACGTATACTTATGAAGATACACGTGATTGAAAACTGTTTAACTCATACACATGAGAGCTCCAAAATCTTGAATCAAATATACTGTTTTAGGTGAGAGATCAGAATAACAGTTTTTTATATTTCAAAAATGAATCACAAAAGATCAGTATTAATTTCAAAAGAATTCTTATGTACTCCAAAATCTTGAATCAAATATAGTATTCTAGGTGAGAGATCAAAATAACAGTTCTTTATATCTCAAAAATGAATCAGTTCTACTAAATAGCAAATGTGATTAGTCAGTTTTACAGTCGATTAAGTAATTGGCGTTGGTGAAAATGGCCCAAATATTTTTTGACCAGCAGCACCCACTCTTAGCGCTTCTTTTACCTTTTTTATTTTTTTAAAAAGGTAAGTTTATATATACATACAAATGATACATGTCATTAAAATTAAATAAGTGTAAGGATGGTACCTCTTAGATCTTTAGAGATAGAATTTTTAAAGACTAGTTAATTAAACGATATATTTTATGGGAAAAATCCATATTATATGATCTTTTATACAAATGATAAATGTCATTAAAATTAAGTAAGTAATAAGGTAGAATTTAACTTGGCACCGACTATTGATATTAAAACTTTTATACAAATGATACATGTCATTAAATTAAAATAAATAAGGATACCACGTAGTTAAAATATGCGGAACAATTAAAAAAAAATTATTTTGCAATTTCGCGCTTCTAACATGATAACTCAAAATATGAGCTAAAAATGGTACCCTTATGGATTACGTGATCGATTATGACATTATATGAAAGATTATATTATGAAAGATTTACAGTTCATATGAAAAACAAAAAAAATTATGTGAATTAGTGTTAAAATAATATGTGAATTTTTCAATTTATTGACGCACTTGAGAATAAGCTTTATAGTGCTGGCGTGAGCTTTTCGATTAACGCACACTATTAAAAAATGGCTTCAATTCTTGGTTTTCGTGTTTACTACAACTTCCACAAATAATTTTGTCTAGCAACTCCACGGCGCGTACGTAAAATCATTAACTTCAAAAAAATTAGTATTTTGTAAAATTTAGTCACATGTTTCTCTATGCTTCCTATTTTTCGGGGATGCATGGCACATAATCGATCCTTGCAGTACAATTACATTAATATAAGAACTATATGTTCCAATCATATTTATGACATTTTTTGAAACGGCGCAATTATAATATGAATAAGAGCGAAACGTAGATTCAAAAGTCACAGAATAAATATCGTACTTTTCGATGTTTTAGTTCAGTTATTCTATTTTTAAACAATATAACAATGACACGAATCGCCAATATCTATATATGTACTTGCTAAGGGAAAAAATACGAAGAGAAAACATATTTTTTTTATACGAAGAACAACTTAGGGTAAACCCGGTATATACGCCGCACCTATCGAAAACTTAATTTATCAATTATTATTTACTATGTTTAAAGCAAATTAATTATACAAATAAAAACTTTGTATCATCTACTACTGTAAAAAAAATATTAGAAATCCAAAATAATTTATTTTTCATATTAAAAAGTAACTTTTTCAAGCCCCTGCATTTTTGCCATTTATCCCATAGGGGGGGGATAATATGGCCACTCGTATATAATTCATAAGAAAATCACAAATAATCTATAAATAAGATGTAAAATGACGACGTAACTTGCATTGTTTATTAATATATGACAATTTTTATTGTTCAGAATTGTTTCTTTTACGAACAACTTTCCACTGTCGGTCTGTGAATTCGTAATCTGAGTGAATCCAGGATCGAAATGAGCTACGCGTATTTTACTTGAACACTTAACTTTATTAATTCCACTAATTGTGACACTTAGTCTATAATTGAATCGCGTCGTGGTATTGACTATACATAACTGCGGTACGCGATATAGCGTACGTCTTGCGAAATTGCTCCGTCGTAACGAACTTGCCGTTGCCGAAAAACTTTATAAACCCGAGATTCCAGAACTTTCTCGATTGTAGACGCACGAGCGAAGCGAGAGCAGCGAACCTTTCTCCTCGAGCGGTTTCGATAGACAGACAGGGGGGAGAAATCGCAGACTTTGTGCAAATTCTAATCGCTACGCCGCGAAATCCACTTCATCGTGTAGACGCCGCACTCTCGCGCTACACAATAGAAGAGCGCACCGGATCGCGCTTATCGACCGATAATCGGTACATCTCGGAACATATACCACCCGCCTTGCGATGTTATGGTCACAATAGCACTCGCAATAAACATCAGAACTAGAACTAAACTACATTGAAATATAAATCTATTGGCTAGTGCATTAACTGTCGGAAGTCTCGTGGTCCGAATGGTTAGATTGATCATCTAGAGAAATTGGAAGCAGGGCCAACTTGGTGATTGGGCGCGTATATACTGATGAGGCAATTTTCACCGTAACAACACGGACCATCCCATTAGATCCCGGATGACAGTCAATGATCCTACCCAGTTCCCATTTAGTCGGAGGGAGCAAGGGCACCCACGTACGCATTGCGCAGTTTCTCGTCCGCACCCTTGAAATTCGTTCCTCTATCATTGTACAAAGCCCGTGGCAGACCTCTCCTAGAGCAGAATCTATAAAAAGCTGCAAGAAAGGCAGCTGTCGAGTAATCACATACAAGCTCTTGGTGGACCGCCTTTATGGCCATGCACACGAAAACCGCCACGTACGCCTTATGCGAACGGATTCCACGACCGCCCACCACGCGAACCGAAATTGGGCCCGCGTAGTCGATTCCGCAATTTATAAACGGACGAGCCGGGAGCGATACACGACATTCGGGCAACGCGCTCATAATTTGAGACGGTAACTCGGCCCTGATCCTTGCACACGTGACACAACGATAGATGACCGATCTGACGAGTTTTCTTGCCTGCAACATCCAAAAATTGTTACGAAGCGTTGCCAAAGTCATCATAATCCCGCCATGGAGACAACGTTTGTGGGCCTCCAATACAATTAATCGCGTTAACTGGTCGTTTCGCAAAATATACGGATGTTTTCTATTTTCATCGAATGTACTGTTACCCAAACGTCCTCCAACCCTCAAGAGTCCGTCTGCGTCCAGGAAGGGGTTTAAGCGTCGCAAAGGACTCTCGCGGTGCAACTCGACTCCTAGACACAAATGATGAGTCCCGTCTTTAATAGGTTCTATACTTCTAAGTGTGTGAATCTCCTTAGGGAATTGCCGTGTCTGCAGCAACGAGATCCACCGCCGTTTGGCGTGCTCAATTTCCTTCTCATTTAGTGTCAGAGTGTGGGAAGTAGCTGGCCCCCGCCTGTAGCGATCTAACCATCGAAATATGTAGACGGTAACCCTCAAAAGTCTTGGCCAAGACGAGAATCTGCTCGCTATATCACCCTCATTTGTCGCAGCGAGATGCACCCGGGCGCTAACCGTTTTCTCCTCTAATGAATCCGTCTCTGATAACGAAGGAATAAACGTTGGCCAATTCGAAACACTCTGGCTAAGCCAAGGAGGGCCGTGCCACCAAAGCTGCTCTGAGATGATCTCTTGAGGAGGCAGGCCACGAGATGCCAGATCGTCAGGATTTTCGGGGCCAGGCACGTGACGCCACGAGACTTCGGGTAATAAGGTGTGAATTTCGGAGACTCGGTTTCCCACGAAAGTTCGCCAATGAGAAGATTGCTGCCCTAACCAGGCAATGACAATGGTGGCATCGGTCCAGCTATATCGCGCCGCGGAGGCAAATTCTGGAGTGGAACTCAAGGACGCCGTGAGTCGAGCAAGTAAGCAAGCACCGTTGAGCTCCAACCGCGGTGTCGTCAGCTGTTTTATTGGAGCAACCTTAGTTTTGCTAGATAGTAAGCTAACGGTGACTCTTCCGGTCTCGTCTTCGATTCTTGCATATACTACGGCTGCATATGCCGATGAGGAAGCATCGGAAAATCCGTGCAATTCTACCTTAACGACGCCTGGAGCGAGACCGATCCACCGAGGGATTTCGATCTGGGTAAGGAATGGGAGTGAAGCATAGAACCTATCCCACGTCGTTCTCAAGGGCAGGGGAAGGTCGGTATCCCATTCCAATGGTTCCTTCCAAAGGGATTGCATGAAGACTTTCGCGACTATAACTACGGGGGCGAGCCAACCCAACGGGTCAAAAAGTCGAGAGATTATTGAGAGGACTACTCTCTTCGAGACGACAGGATACTCCTCCTGTATCACAGAAAATCGATATACGTCCGCTCCCGGACTCCAAGCTAAACCTAAAATACGTACACTTTCGTTATGGTCGAATGCCTTTTCGAGTGCCAAGCCATGATTGGTAGGTTCGATATCGTTGAGTAATTCTGGAGCATTACTAGTCCATTTTCTCAAGTTAAAACCGCCTTTGCGTAGCAGGGCCACCAATTGATTCCGAATTTCGCGTACTTCGGAAAGGTCGTGGGCACCGAACAATACATCGTCCACGAAGATCATGTCCCTTAAGATCGATGCTGCTAAAGGTGAGGCATGACCCTCGTCGTCGGCAAGCTGTCGCAGCACTCTCATTGCTAAGTATGGAGCGCTGGTAGTACCGTAAGTGACGGTTGCTAGCGCGAATTCCTGAATTGGGAAGTCCGAAGACGATCTCCATAAGATTTTTTGATATTTACGGTCATCTTCGTGTACCGAGATTTGACGGAACATCTTCTCGATGTCCGCCGAACATACGTATCGATGAGTGCGCCATCGATTGTGAAGCTGAGCGAGATCCTTTTGAAGTTTCGGACCGCTCCATTAATAGTCATTTAGCGACTTCCCGTTCGTGGAAGGAGCTGAGGCGTTAAATACTACTCTAAGTTTTGTAGTTGTACTTGAAGATTTAAGTACCGAGTGATGGGGTAAGAATACCGACTGATTGTCATTTTGACAGGCCTTCGTGTCCGGATGTATGTGTCCGAGTTGTTCGTACTCACGCATGAATTCCGAATATAATTTGCCTACGTCCGGATGACGCGCGAGTTTTTTCTCCATGGTTATCAGCATTCGCTCCGCACGAGCTCGAGTACTGCCTATTGAAATAGGAGGTCCTTCCTTAAAGGGGATTCTGACTATGTATTTCCCATCAGAACGGGAGTGAGTAGTGCGAAAATGATTTTCGCATCGGTTATCCTCCTCGGTAGGAGGTGTATGCAGAGGAACTTCTTCACATTCCCAAAATCTGCGCATCGATGCGTCAAGATCGAATAGGGATTGCGAGTGATGTACATGAGCCGGGTGTATCGAGGAACTTACTGAGGCTGTCGTGTTACCCGAAATAATCCAGCCGAAAATCGTATTTTGTGCGACCGGCTCGTCCCTTTGACCCCGTCGCAGGCCGTTTCGAAGCGCGTATGCATAAAGATCCGCACCGATAAGAAGATGAACGGGTGTTGCATCGGTTGGCCGTTTATCAGCAAATTGAAGGCCACGAAGATGTTTGTAATCGCTTGGCGAAGATTGAAATCGTGGCACGTATGTCGTCAGTGAGCGCACTATAAGCGCGTCTGTTGATAACGTCGGGCCCGTGCCCTGCGCTGGAGTAACCGTAATAGGGGCTGCCCGAGTTATTTGTTCGGCTTTATTATCTCCAATTCCGCCCATGCTCACTGCGACTGGATATGTCTTCGTGCCCAACAACTCAGCCACTTTCGCTGAAATAATCGTATGGATGGAACCCTGATCGAGCAAGGCTCTGACCTTAACGACCTTCTGAGAGGGAGAGGATACAAGGGCCCAAACTGTCGCAAGTACGACATGTGCTGGTTGAGGACCATTAAAGAAATGAGACTGCACCAAAGTAGAGTCTATAGAATTAGAGACTGACGGCTTATCGCCAGAATTCGTCGAGTCGGTCCCTTCATCCCCTCCCTTCTCCAATTCTGCGACATCAATTGGATGTAATAACGTTTGGTGTCGGTTACCACACCGAAAACACGAATATTTGCTCGAACATGGTTTACCACGATGCATTTGCAACAAACAATTTTTACATAGTTTTTTACGATTAATCATTTCCAAACGTTGATCTACCGACATAGTTCGGAAGGATGTACATTTATATATTGGATGATTTTCGGAGCATATACTACACTTTGATAGAGAGGCTTCAGAAAGATGAATTTGTGCATTCGCCTTTTGCGGTTTGGTAACGGGAGTCTTATTTAATTGTACTGAAGCTGCTTCAAACGCTCTTATCCGTGAATTTAAAAATTTCTCTAATTCATCAAACGTCGGAAATTCATCACCTTCCCCGCAACTAAGTTCCCAGAATTTGCGTGTCTCTTGGTCTACTCGCTGAGAAATAAGATAAACTAAAACATCGTCCTGTACGGGATGTCCTAATGTTTTCAATGCTTCGACGGATTCTTTCGCGTTATCTAATAATCTCCGTAATTCAACCGCAGACCCTGTGCAAGTAACCGCTTTAAGTGAAAATAAATTAGAAACATGAATGTGAAATAATCTTCGCTTGTTCGCAAATCGATCTTTTAATAACTTCCAACTAATATCAAAATTCTCCGCAGTAATTTGCACATTTTTAAGCAATAACGCGGCCTCTCCATCAAGGCAAGACTTCAAATAATGAAGTTTTCGTAAATTATCAAAAGAATTATCATCAACAATTAAGGATTTAAAATAATCATGAAATGTTGGCCAGTTTATATGTGCCCGAAAACCGTGGTAAGGTTATGCGCGGTACTTGCGCGAGTCGTTGTACTTCTTGAATCCGGTAGGGTGAAGGCGCCTGCGTTGCACCTGTTGACGGGTTGGCAATTTCACCAGGAAGAAATGCCTTGAAGTTGCTGATGCTGTCCAACACGTAGAGCTCCATAGATGCATACTCCCCGTTTTTGAAGTAAGTCATCTGATTCTTCTCCTGCTCGGTAGCCGCTAGTAGCAATCTCAGATTCTGTCCCAGTGGTGCTGGATGTAGCTGACTCGTGTATTCACTTGTTCTGGACTAATCAAGGCTCCTCCGTCGAGGATTTCCGTGACTCGTTGAATAGATTGGAAAAATTGGTCTTGTTCAAGCAACAGCAAACTCACCGATTCCTTTGAGGCTGGTACCGTCTGTTGCGTATCTGAAAATTCGCCTTTTCCTGGCATCATCATTGTATTACGTGTGTAACTTGGAAACTTACACAAATTCCTTCAAAGATTCCGTTCCTTCGTTGGAAGTTTATTGTTCACGTACTTCTATTGCACCTTTAATGTCCCACAAGTACGAATTCGCTTCCGTTCGAACACGTGGTCGGAGCGATTTAATGGCCGCTGTTCGAGATCGACCGCGCACCGCGGGCCACGTGTGACCTGCACGAGATTCACGTTTGTGCCTCGACGCGATCAATTGAATTTTGTCCGAGATTCGAGTGAGTTTTGAGCTCGAATAAATGTGTTCCACTGCACGTAGAAAGCTCAGTATCCTGGCAGGATCGCCAAATGTTTCTTTTACGAACAACTTTCCACTGTCGGTCTGTGAATTCGTAATCTGAGTGAATCCAGGATCGAAATGAGCTACGCGTATTTTACTTGAACACTTAACTTTATTAATTCCACTAATTATGACACTTAGTCTATAATTGAATCGCGTCGTGGTATTGACTATACATAACTGCGGTACGCGATATCGCGTACGTCTTGCGAAATTGCTCCGTCGTAACGAACTTGCCGTTACCGAAAAACTTTATAAGCCCGAGATTCCAGAACTTTCTCGATTGTAGACGCACGAGCGAAGCGAGAGCAGCGAACCTTTCTTCTCGAGCGGTTTCGATAGACAGACAGGGGGGAGAAATCGCATACTTTGTGCAAATTCTAATCACGCTACGCCGCGAGATCCACTTTATCGTGTAGACGCCGCACTCTCGCGTTACACAATAGAAGAGCGCACCGGATCGCGCTTATCGACCGATAATCGGTACATCTCGGAACAAGAATGAAAATTGAAATACAAATAGGACTTAATACAATTTTTTTAAATAGCTTCAAATCTTTGAAATTAATCTTTAAACGTTTAAGATTTATCAACATTTATGCATTAATGCAATGTATAATTGTTAGAATTAACAAAAACTTCTTAAATAGAGCGTCTGTGCTGCGGCACAGCATCCCGCTCGCTAAAAATGCCATATATCCCAAATAGATGGGATATATATGACAACTAATTAAACAAACAATACAGGAGCAAAGCACTTGTATTTTGCTATACAACATGCTTTACTATTCCTCTACACATATGTATTGCAAAATAACCACTAAGTCTTTTACACGCTCTATAATAATCATTTTATGTAGATTATAAATTATGATGGCACTACTTATTACAGTAAAAAATCGATTTAACTCGCAATAATTTCATTAATATTAACAGTAAAGAACTGAAATCATAACATAATACTAATATACCATAAAGGCATGTAACAAAGTAATTGACGGAAAATTATCCCCACTCCTTCTATTTTTTCTGACTTCTGCGGCGTATTTCCTGACGCGGCGTATATACCGGGTTTACCCTACATTCATAACTACATCACAGTTTCTCAAAAATTTAAACTACGGTGGATTTGTCCATATATGTATTGTTACGTCCGGAGAACTCCACGATTCTTTTCTTCCGTGGAACGTTAGATAGATAACAAGTATATTAACGAAACTAAGTGTAATAAGGAGTACGAGAAAACCTAAACAAATAATATCGTTTCTTCCTGCTTCTTACTTCAAATTTTAAGAGAAACGGATGAGCAGATATCGACAACTATTAGATGATTAAAGAAAATTTTTCTCATTAACAAATTCAGCTACCAGACGCTACAGCTGGCCGCGTCGCGAAGTTAAAAGACCAACCGCCACTCATAGATCCTATAAGAAGCTTATAGGTCAGCGTTCGATACTGCACACGCGTTTCCGGTTTAAGATTAAACCATTTGAATCTTCGATACATCAGCACACATTTGACCTAAATCATTTCTACTCCCAAAATTTGATTCTCGCAAACAAAGAAGGGCATATTGCCCTCCGCCAGTATAAATATGAAGCCGCGAGACTACGAAAAAGACTTCACTTCCTTAGTTCCAATAGTGCGGATCAAATTCTTGACAGTTAGATATTACATTTAGAACCAGTCTCAATAGAACTTTCGCACTCAGTGATTCGCGTGTGACATTTATAAAATTTCGGAGTTCCTGTGACCAAATCAGTAACTACATCCAGCCAGTCTAGGACCTTGCTTCATCATAGGCCCCGACCTTCAAGGGACTCCGGTAGCCATCCATTAACACCCCATACATCCAAAAAGTAAGAAGTCAATTTTTTCGTTGTTTTATTTGACCATCTACTATATCTCTCTCTCTTCTCCTTCCCTCTTCATGCACGACTCTCTCTTTTCCTTTATTTTTCCGAATTGCTTAGCGTTTAACGCCTCAAGCGATTTACTTTCCTTACTCTTTATTTCCTGAATTGCTTCAGCGTCTGACGCCTCAAGCGATTCTCTCTTTTCCTTTATTTCCTGAATTGCTTAGCGTCTAACGCCTCAAGCGATTTACTTCCCTTACTATTTATTTCTGAATTGCTTCAGCGTCTGACGCCTCAAGCGATTCACTTTCCTTACTCTTTATTTCTGAGTTGCTTCAGCATCTAACGCCTCAAGCGATTCACTTTCCTTACTCTTT